GACTTATCTTGTTAGGAATTCCTATACTCATGCTCTTCCCCTGGCTAGTCATACATGGACTGTACTCCAAGGGTGTGCTCTGAAATAGGCCGGTGCCAGTGAAGCTGCTACCTCTTCCTTGGTCAAAGGGAATTGCTGCCCAGCAGAGCTACTCCAGGAATCCCGTTTGCTGGTTCCATACAGTTTGCGCTGCAGCCAGTGTTCACTTGGATTCGTCTCTGCACGTGGTTCATTGCCTGCACAGAAGGCTAAATATTTATGAAGTAGGGTGTTAGAAATGATTGTTTTCCTATCCAGGCAGCTGCTGGGAGTGCCAAACTTTGCCTTGTACTGACAATACCGTTGCCTAGCTAATCACGGGAGCCAGGGATGGGCTTGCTGTGCTGATCATCACAAGCCGGCAGAAGAGATAATGAGCTGCTGACAAGGATGCATCTGGAATCCGGCCGAGCATTGTATTGTGTGAGATACTGTGTGCTGCTGCTTCCTTCCCAAACCAGGACAGTGGATTCCTGTTCCTTAGCATCGTGTCACCTTGCTCTCCGTAGCTCACTCTTTATTTCCTTGATACAGTTTGAATGGTTTAAAAACAACAAGTTTACACAAAGGGAAGAAAGCACATCTTGGGGAATTCAAATCATTTGTAAACTAACCTAATTTTGTATGCTTGCTCTTAGTGATCTTGCATGGACAGTATATTTCAGAAATCAGCTTTAAAATGTAATTTCTTTTGTGGAGAAAGCAAACCTTGGCAGTATGAAAATCAGATATTCACCTAGCTGCATGCTGCATGGCATCACTTTGCAGCTGGTCTTCTCCATGTTGGGCTTGCCACGATCTTCATTCTAGTAATGGGGTTGTGCTGATATTTTTAGATGAGATTGCAGGCAGCAATGTCTTAATCAGAATTTAGTTCAGTGCTGTAGCAGACAAGTGTGCTGCTGTTGGGCCTTTCCACGTGGCAGGATTTGAAGAAGGAGAGCAGTGTATGTGCCCATTGCTGCAACCTTCTTCAGTATTGGGGATGGTTTAATTGAAAAGACAGTAAGTGCTATTTATGCCTTCCTGGACATGCATACCCTACTTGCAAATTATGGTTTTTTGTCTTGCCATCTTGTTTCTGAGCTGTATTGTTATGGTAGAGTTGGGGAACTTTTGTCCTAATCCCTCCTCCTCTTCAACTCCCAGTTTTGGATATGCCAGCTGGGGAGTTACCCAGATGTCCAAGTTATTTTATGCTGACCTGTGCTTTGTCGTTTTACTTTTCAAATGCTGGTTAAGCCAATGCAGTAAATCATATTTCAGCTTTCTTGTCACGTATGAATAATTTTGTCATTAATTCCTAGAGCCTTGGTCCTAGTTTCTTCAGGGGGACATACCTGAGCTGTGTGGGTAAGACCTCCACGCAGAGAGAGAGGCTGTGCTGCCTAAGTTGTTGGCTCTTGGTACTTAACAGGCTCCATTCTGAATCCTTATTCGACTTTCAGCAAAGCATGCAAGCCTGTGCCCTTCATCCTCTCCAAGCTTGTTAATAATGTGAGCTGGACACGGGCGCGAAGGAAGAGTCCATCTC